AGTCAAGAAAACTCACCGGCAAATCCCTAAAGTGGCATATTTACTCTACATCTGGCCTCTTCAATCAGGTATACAATTATTTGCATAGAGGTTGTTTGACCTTGTTTTCGCAACATGGTTCTGTTGTTAGGAAGACTTATTGGAACGCCCCTTGTCCGTAGTCGATTGTATGCATCATCATTTCCAAAGTTGAACCATGGACGTGGTACACTCGCAAACATTTCGCCGGCATCGTCAGTGAGTATCGCCATTCTTAGCCCAAACATCTTGGCCATCATATCTATAATTTACTTTTTTTCAATATATGAAGACCAAGATGTTGTGGTCTCTGGTGTGGTCGCAGTCTCCTTTCGATGTATAGAAGTGGGTTAACCACGTTGTCGCAACTTAGTCTTGTAGAAACACCTAGTCCGAAGTCGTCTGCCATAGTAGTTGTCATGATTCCCAGCATCTGACAGTGGACTTGATACATGCCAGCGAAACGTTTGAGAATGTATCAAGTCCACTGTCAGATGCTGGGAATCATGACAACTACAATGGCAGACGACTTGAAATTTTAAGGTGAAAATGAGGATATCTTGGCCCGTTTTGAGGAGAAGACTTACCGAAAAACATTAAACTGATTCTCAAACTGTCGTCGAAGTTGTTCCTTTCGTTGTTTCACAAGAGATAGCGTCTTGTGACTCTGTTCAGCGTCACTTCTTCCATCCTCTCGTTCTGGCAACGATTCTGGCTGCTTTTGTGCTCTCATCGCCTCTTCTCTAACTTTGATGGCCAACTTCTCCTTCTCCTCTCTGGCTTCTCGTTCTCTTCGCTCCAGATTCAGCTTTTCAGCCTCTCTCTCGATCGCCTCAATGCGTGCTTTCGACTCTTCGGCTTCGCGTTGCTTCTCCCTTTTCAACCCTTCCAACCTCTCCATCTCCATTTTGGCCTGCGCCAATCGGTCGACCTCTCGCCTTCGCTCCTGCTCCTCTTGCCATTGCTTCTGCCTCTCCAGCTCTTGTCTACGCGCCTCTTCTCGTTCCACTTCAAGCTCTTTTGCCCGTTTCGCCTCCATTTCCCGCTCCCATTCAAGTCGACTGACCAGCTCCAATTCTCTTTTTCTCTCATCTTCGCGGTCTCTCTTTTTGTCCGCCTCTTTCTGCTCTTCTCGGTCTCGCTGGCCTTTCTGCTCGTCCGACCTCGTCTGCTCCGGCGGCGCATGAACACGACCGCCTCGCTCCGAAGCTGCACTGGCTCGACTGTCCGGACTCAACGAGGACGGCGCCTCCAACACATCATCCTCGTCGCCGTCGCCTCGGGCGTACATTGTATCGCGAATCGCGTCTCCATGCGCCTCGAGACGTGACGACACCGGCTGCCGTGCTCCTCCGGGCTGACTCTCGACCGAGCCCCAGGCTGCCGAGGCCAGTTGGCAAATAGAACAAGAGGGTTCGAGGTGAGTGGAAAACAAAAAGAGTTGAGCCTCATTTCGCTTAATACCCATTCTAGGCTGTCCTGTTTCACACGAAAAGTTTCCATAAAGGTTATAAAGTGAATGATAGTTGACTCTTTCCCACACTCATATGAGTGGACTTTACATTCCCATTCAATTTCACACAGACTTGCTTTCTTTAAAAGTATTTTCATCCGAGCACGAGCAGACAACCGTTTCGACCTCGCCCAGCGGGACTCTAACCATGAAATTGCAGCTTATACTCTCGACACGTCTACCACTACACCTTGGGTCACAGAGCAGATGTGGATTTCAAAGAAGGCCAGACATTTTGCCACATCACATTTTTGGTGGGATTGTCGTTGAAACAAAGTTGTATTTGTTATACCAATCGACTACATTACTTACTTCTCGTTTATAATTAGGCTTTTTTTAAGACTACCAGTATACCATTTGTATATGAATTGCGTTAAAAATAGCCAAAATAACAAAGAATAAAGACTAAATCAGCGGAGGCTTATTTACCACTTCCTTAATAGTGCGGTTATCTTTTTTATTTAAGAGCGAACGATCACAAAAATAAAAAATGCTAAGGAAACTATGGCACTTTATGCGAATAAAAATTGGGTTTCGAGGAAGCTTTTGTTTCATAATTGTTGAGCC